ACATTAAACCGAGTTTGTTTCTGCCCATCTTTGGTGGGTGGGGAAGGACATGTTGCCTATGGGATAGTTAAAAGTCCTGTGTGTCTTCTTGGAAGGAGTCCAGTAGATTGAGAAACAACCTCTGGGTCCCATCCAACATGATCCTCTCTACAAAATGGAATCTAGCCCCTTGTCTAGCTCTAGGTGAATGATCTTTGAATGAAGGAAACCGAGTTTGTTTCTGCCCATCTTTGGTGGGTGGGGAAGGACATGTTGCCTATGGGATAGTTAAAAGTCCTGTGTGTCTTCTTGGAAGGAGTCCAGTAGATTGAGAAACAACCTCTGGGTCCCATCCAACATGATCCTCTCTACAAAATGGAATCTAGCCCCTTGTCTAGCTCTAGGTGAATGATCTTTGAATGAAGGAGAGCTGCCACATTTGCTCATGAGGACAGTGTGCTGCTGAGGTCAGACCAAGGGCTGGGATAAGAAACATGCCATTCTACAGGAGATGAAGGGAGGCAAATAGGGAGACAGAGGGAGCCATGGAGGCAAATGGCTGTGCCAGACAGTATCAGTGTTATGTAGGCAAACATTCTTTTGGGAGGTCGTGCGGGGTGTTGGGACTGCCCCACCCAGCCACACCAATTCATCTGTTTCTAAGCGGGTTAGACTCAGGAGCCTCGCCCCTTGGGGAACAACAAAGACAAACTGCCAGGACAATGTGGGAGAATGTAGGCTTTTGCAGCTGCTGGTCAGGCAAAGGCAAACAGGATGCTGATGACAGTGGTGCACCACTTGAGGGACCAGATTCCAGCCAGTGCATGGTGATCAGGGAGGAAATCACTGATCAACCGAATGATGGGATGGGTACTGCTTCAAGACAGGAGTAAGACACACTGGCTGAGTTGGACAGGGTCAAGATTAGGATAACAGAGCATGGAGCAGGCCAGGAGAGAGGTGCATCAGAACAGCTGTGGGAGTCCTAGGAACATGCTGGGAAAGTGATACACTTCAGCACAAAGCTGCACAGTGGCAGAAGGGGTGTTAGCCTGGGTACAGAATCCCCTGGGGCCCCAAATGAAGATTTCCTTTCTCAACTCAGACCTGAATGCCCAATTTCATTAGCAAGGTGATGACCCAGCCTAGAGCAGTGGGTGTTCATGCCTCAGCAGGGCCATGAGAATCTATTAACCTCTGCAGCATAACTGGCACATGTATGTGTGATACTGGCAGTGGGGTGATGGCTCTCTCATGGATACAGCTGGCTTTAGACATCCATTGATTGTTCTGAATCTGCCATGGGTGGTATGCAGAGGGAAGCTATTCCCCTGTCCAGCAGTAGCCAGGACAGTATCACAGGAAGGACTGACCTCCTACCCCGAGGATACACAATTACCTAAGGATGCAGGGAGAAGGAGGCTTCCTCACATGTCCTTCCCAAAGGCTTCCCTTGGCTGCTTTCCTCACTTGGGTGGGGCACTTCCTGCTCCTTCCAGGGCAGGGGACAGTTCTCAACGGGAGTAGGACGCAAGGACTGTTGAAAAGGTCAACACAAACACTAGTCCAAATGTCCTGAAACACATTTCAGGGGCCGGAAACAAACGAGACACAAGTCGAATGGGGCAGTAAAGAGCTGACTACAGGGTGAAGGGCTCTTTGTATCTGGACAGCAGCAGGAACTTTCTCTACTTTAGCTAGGCAGTGGGCCCAGGGAGCCGAGCTATACCTGGAAGATTGGGGCCTCTGTGGGTGTGAGATCTCCCCCCATCCAATGTTTTAAGCTCCTGTTCAATCCTTCCCTCACCCATACATGTGCTCCATCAGCTTGGCGTGCCTGAGACCCTTATGCCACTCTGACTCATCTGCAGCTGCCGCTAGTGGGTGATGGGGAAAGGCCATGCATCAGGCTGCTCCTGTCGCCCAGCATGCAAGAAGCTGAGCTTGCATTCAGCACAATGCCCCATGCAAGTGGAGATATGGTGGTGAAGGAGAGAACAAAAGAGGGAAGCAGTTTTCATCTCTCTGTTCCCACCAAAACAGGGGTGTTAAAATGAGTTCTGTACTGAGCATTCTCCACTGAGAGGAGGGGGCTCAGGGCCACTTAAGTCTGTGGACTTTGCTATGCGATCCATTCCCAGCCTTCTGTGTCTCTGCAAGATTCCACGGCATTGTAAACTAGGGGATGCAGGGGCAGGAAACAAGTGAAATCTAAATCCCCCAAATCTCCTGGCCTCTGCCTGCTCACACCGGTTTCACTTTGTTAAAGCCGATTTGAGCTCTGATCCCAGGGAGGGAGGAGGGAGCAGAGACTGGGAGAGAGAAGAGGAAGATGGGGAGAATGGACTGTGTGTGATCCTGCTGTCTGCAGGGCACAGGATGCTGGCAACAGGAAGAGGGGGAGGGCTTGCACATCTCAGTGAACCCAGATTCATCCCCTAGAGTTCCTAAGGTTCATCCCCTAGAGTTCCTAGAGCCGGGTAGGGGATTAGGTCATCAGTGAGATGAATGCGGAGGTCTCCACTTCTCTCTCCATTGCAGGTTTCCTTTGGCAGTTCTGCTTCAGTAGCCCTATATGCTTGGTACCTCCCCCATACACAGGCTGGCTGTGAAGGGTAATGGCTTCTCCCACTTTGGAAGCAGTAGAGACTGAGAGGCTAGGCTCATGTGATGTGGGTTCTGTTCCCAGTCTTGGTGTCTTGTTTCCTGTGCAACAGCAGTGGCTAGGGTCGCTGAGGAGCCTGGGCCTTGTTCCTTCATGGTTAGCACTTTGTGCTGTCAGGGTACAAAGCTTGGTTCCATTCCCACAGCTGGTCTTTTGCTTCCCCTCCAAAGCCACTGAAGTCTGGAGATGTAGGGACATGGTTAACTCCTGATGCAGGTGTCTCCCTAGGGTGTGGATATGCATGTCCCTTACATGTGATGGAAGGCTGTGTGTGGAGCACTGCCGGATAGGGGATTAGACCTCTTTGGGATGTGAGAGCATGGTGTATGGAGACGGGAGGGAGACAGGAAACCTGGTGTCGGACTCATGGCAGCTCAGTTGTTTAATCTCCTGGATTAAGGCAGTAGTGGAATGCAATGTGCGGCTGTGACCTTCTCAGAGCTGCCTGGTGTGAACCCAGGTCAGCACCTTAAGAGGCTCCAACCAGATCACACCCTCTGGCCATTGTCTGGGGGGACATAAAGAGAAAAATTGAGGTTCTTTGATGCCAGTCAGTATCTGTTTGTAATCCTATTGATTTTCCTCATCTTTTTTTTATCAGCAGGCCCCTCAAGCCCCATGTGCTGATTCTCCTAAATTTCTAAGGCAGATTCACGCTTTTTGATCTTCTGCTTTGCAAAGGGTTAAATCTAATCTGTGGAATTAACAAAAGATGAGCCTCTAAAGCTTCAGTGGGGTTCAGAGAATCCTCTCCAACATTTGGCTGAATATGGCCCAAAGCTTTCTCCAACTCACTTTGAGCTAGAAAAATCAGGGCTGGAAATCTCACAAAGGAACAAGTTTTTGCTTTTGAGATTTCTGCGGCCTCGCAGTTTTAGCTAGGTTGCAATACCCATAAAAACAACCTTGCCCCTTTTTCCATGTTCTGGATTCTGACTGAAACTAGATTGCTTTGGAAGCCCCATGAAAAGGAGGAAAAGGATATAAAAATTAAACCAAAGATTTTCAAAATTAAAAGAAAATGACTGATCAAACGGGTCTCATCTCTTCTAACACCATCCACAGTGGTGCTATTTTATAAATTCCTCGGTAATTGTGTTTTGACTGGAGCAGCCATAGCTCTGATAGGTGTATGAAGAATGATTTTACATTTCCATAGAGCCCACAGGATCAAATTTAACCTATTTTACATTGCCCTGCACCATAGTATCTAGGTGATTTCCAAACTAAGGGCCCGACCCTGGCTGTGACTCAGCATTTGCAACTCTCAGATCCTTAGCATAGGAACCATGTCAGCCACATCCGGGATGGAAAATGGCAGCGGTGAGATCAGGAATTCTCACAGCAGACGCAAAGCAAACGTGTTTTCCTCCAGAATCTTTTCTAACTTGCTCCTAGGGGACCACAGAGTTCTTTAAGGGGCCGAACCCAGCAGCGCAGCCACTGCTGGGAAATGCCATTCTGTGCCCAGTGAGAACTCACACTCAAGGTGACAGAACAAAACCTATACAATGGCAAAGGATGGAAGGTTAGAACAGGACACAGACACCCTGAAGCGAAGGTGACCTAGGCAGGTTGATTTGAGAGAGCTAGAGATCAGTGACAAAGAGCATTATGGGTAACAAAGATTTGCCACCCTTCCATAATTCAAGCAATAATCACAATTTTCACATCTGGAGCAAGTCCTTTTAGTCCAGTCTGTCTGGTAATTATAAAGCCGTGCACTGATTTCAGTCATCACAGCATTATTACTTTGTCCCCTAAGGCAAGTACAAACATGGAATGGGAGGAGGTGAATTTATACGGGTTATAGATGGTAATCCATTTGGGGGAGTGCAGCCAGGCGGGGGGGGGGGGGGGGGGTTGGGATACTGGAGGTATCCCAAAAAACTCTGCAATCTATAGGGAACGTGTTTGCTCTTTCGCTTTTTTTGTGGAAGAGCAAACTTGCTCTTTCGGAAGCCCCTGTATTCCTCATTCCACAAGGAAGAAGGGGGCTTTTGAAAGAGGGTTTTTTTCCGAAATTTGGCCCAGTGTAGATGGGCCAAATTTCGGAAAAGCCTCTTCCGACAAAAGTATTGGAAAAAGATATGAAAAATGCGGATTGTATTTTCCGACAGATCCTCACAGTCTAGCTTACTCTCTGGGTCTGGGCAGCATTGAGCACAGCTAATTAGTAACAATAAAAAAGAGGGTGAAGCTTTTGAAGACTCTATTTAAATACTTCTCTACCATCTCTATGACAGCTTGTCAGTGTCCTAAATGGGGTGGCTCTTTGGTGCCCATGATACTTTGCTGTAGGATTTCAACACCCCTGTGCCCATCTCTTCTTTCTCTGTAGATTATTGAATGAAAGTGACAAGCGGCCCTTCATCGAAGAGGCAGAGCGGCTGAGGATGCAGCACAAGAAGGACCATCCCGATTACAAGTATCAGCCACGCCGGCGGAAAAATGGCAAGGCCTCCCAGGGCGAGGGTGAGGGCCAAGCCGAGGGAGAAGCAGGCGGGGCTGCAGCTATCCAGGCCCATTATAAAAGCGCCCACTTGGATCATAGACATCCTGGGGAAGGATCCCCCATGTCTGACGGGCACCCCGAGCACACCTCAGGTTAGTTCCATGTCTGCACCAGCAGCTCATCCTCCACCAAGAAGAGTCCTCCAGTCCAGCTGGAGAATGGAGGACTCTCTGAAGTCTTAGGGCACCAACTTGTGAGCTGAATCATTTCCCCCTGGTGGGACACAGTAGTTGGACATGACCCCTACATGCTTGGTGCTGCCACCAGCATTGGGGACACCTGGAGAGCATAGGTGTTTCCATCTCTTTAGACAGGGTGGGAAATCATCCCCCACAGGGTTCATATGCACAGTTGCCATTTTGGTCATGGCTGGCCACCTCCTCCCTTCTTGTCCCTCTGTAATGAGGTTCCCAGGGATGTCTGGCAGTACCGGCTCTGTGCAGTAGGAGGTGCAGAGTTGCTGCCTACAGCTGGGCTGAGCTGTTTTATTGCCTTATGAGCCAGGGCTATACTATGAATTGGTAACAGATTTGCTTTCTCTTTCCTTCCAAATGATTTTCAATTCACAGGTCAGAGCCATGGACCCCCCACTCCACCAACAACTCCAAAGACAGAACTCCAGGCAGGCAAAGCTGACTCCAAGCGGGAAGGGCGCTCCCTTGGAGAAGGCGGCAAGCCTCACATTGACTTTGGCAACGTGGATATTGGAGAGATCAGCCATGAAGTGATGTCCAACATGGAGACCTTTGACGTCAATGAATTCGACCAGTACCTGCCACCCAATGGACACGCTGGCCATCCGGGCCACGTTGGGGGCTATGCAGCAGCAGCGGCCGCTGGCTACGGCCTTGGGAGTGCCCTGGCTGCAGCCAGTGGACACTCTGCCTGGATCTCCAAGCAGCATGGAGTCTCCTTGTCTGCTGGTACATCATCAGTGGTGGACTCCAAAGCACAGGTGAAAACAGAAGGTTCTGCCCCTGGAGGCCATTACACTGATCAGCCTTCCACTTCCCAGATAGCGTACACGTCCCTGAGCCTGCCCCACTATGGCTCGGCTTTCCCCTCCATCTCCAGGCCCCAGTTTGACTACCCTGACCACCAGCCCTCAGGACCCTACTATAGCCACTCCAGCCAAGCCTCTGGCCTCTACTCTGCCTTCTCGTATATGGGACCCTCGCAACGTCCCCTATACACTGCCATCTCTGACCCTGCACCCTCTGTGCCACAGTCCCACAGTCCCACACATTGGGAACAGCCTGTGTATACAACTCTCTCCAGGCCATAGGAAATGGGGAACAATGACCAAAGCAGCAACCGAAAGGCTCTAAAGAATCAGCACAGGCAGAAGGGTCTGCAAACTCCGAGGTCATTCAGTGTAACCCAGCCATCAGAACCCACTGAGTATCCAGACATGTCTATCTTGACCCCGGTTATCGCTGGCTCACCGCCTAGAGGAAGGTTTTACTCCTTTGCCCCTCCCAATTCAATGTATGCCAACCTAATTGACTTGCACAACCCTTTTGGCCTTCTAGATGAGGATGATTCTAGGCATGGAGTGACTGGTCACAGTGGGTTTCATTGTGCACACCTTGGACTGTAACATAAGAGATAACCCCCAACCTTAACTGCCCTCCAACTGCTTCAGTGATTTAGCAAGTATTTTGGATAGGCCACATGGCCAACTCATTGTCACTTGTGGGTGAAGAGTAGCTGGCTGAGTACCATGGTGGACATGCTGTGGGAGGAGAGGTAGGGCAGTACAGTCAACTTCCCTGTGCTCTGCAATGTTCCTAAGATTCACGCATGCATGAATCTTGATCCCTATTGGAAGACCAACCTATGCTTGCTTTCCTATTGACTTCCACATCCGCATCCTATCCTCCCCTCAATCCACCCTCACTTTATTGTATGGTAATCTGAAGACTTGACTACAGTGGACTTATGAACCACATCAATGGTTCTAGCATTATTCATGTCACAATATACATGTGTGGGAGCAACATCATGGACCCTAGAGGCAACAGGGAGGGAAACCTACTTTCTTATGATTATTTTGTATGACTAGGAAACATGTCCTGTTCCCTTCTAAATCCTTCCACCTATCCTCTAATATTCCAAAAGATACACTGCCAGGGCAATGCCGGCCCTTCTGACTGTATGTGTGTGCGTGCATGGGATGTGAGGGAAGAGTAGCTGAAGATACTGTGGCAACCAAAAGCATCAGCATGACTCCCACTTGCCCAAACACAGTTTGCTAAAATAATCAACTTATACTTGCAAGGTTGGGCCCCCAAGCAGAGATGAACTAAAGAACACATCCCCTGCTGCCTCTTCATGGCTTGTTCCAGTTTTCCAACAGTCCTACCCTCATCAAGAAGAGGAAGTTGTGGCACCAATTGTGAGGAAAGCACTCAGTGCTGGATGAGCATTAAAGACAATTGGTCCATGTAAAAAAGATAATGAACTTGCCTTCCCTTTTGGGTTTCAAACTGGAAGCAACCGTCCCCAGTGGTCAGGCTGGTTCCCCCCATTCTTGTCCTCATCTTCATTCGCCCCTCTCAGGTGGTGTGCTTGTTCATTCCACAACTTCAGGACTAGCATGGTTTCACAGTGCCAGAGAGCATGCTGTCATGAAGGATGTCATAACTCAAGGTGGGAGAAGATCATGCCCTCCAATGGGCCACCAAAACACACCATGGAATACCCAGCTGATATGTAGGTCTGAGAAGATGGGACGGACTGACTTAAGCATAGCCTGTGATCCTCACTTCCAGTGCTCTTCTCCTACTGAGACTGCTCAGGATGACCTTTATACACCCTTCTCTCCACCCTTAACTTTGGCTGACTCCTTCTCTGTCATGTTTGAAAAGAACATGTAGTATGTTTGCTCCTCTGTATGCATGTAACCCATTGCTGCCCCCTCCCCTTATTTATTCCATTACACTTTCCCCTCCCAAGAAGCCCCTCTCCCTGTCCCCAAAATATGCTGTTCTAGCATCATTAACTCTGCATTAAATGTATTGAATAATAAACTTAAAGGTTTCATTTGTGTGCGTCTATTTTTTAAATTTTAATATTTTTTACTTTTTCAGCCTCATCTTGTCCTTCTCCTCAGTAAGAGGGTGGGGTGTCTCTACATCACACAGACCCCGTGTGTGTGTACACACATTTCTTCTATGCCCATCACTGAAAGGATGATGTCAGTGAGTTTTAATAGTGTTGCCTGGACCAGGAGCCCCTTGTTTCTCTTCTCCTGATCTTGAGACTCATCTCCAAGCAATAGATCATGATACTTTCCTGCCAGAAACCCTATCTTCCCAAACATATTCATGAAAATATGATCAACCTCATCTGACCTACAAATTACATTTGGTACCTACTAAGAAGAGTCTAGTGCCAGCCTACATGGATCCTGCACACATGAACACCAATGGACTTCCCTCAATGAGCATAACACGTGACAGACCCCAACCCACTTCAGAATAGTCTCCTAAAGGCAGTGGTAGCCAGACAGAACCAGGGGATGCACAACTAGAAAAGGGAACCCTGGGAGCTAGAAAGATCCAAGATTTCCTGAGCAGAGCCATGAGACTGGTTCAGTGTGTTTGTGTATGCAAAGTGCACAGTGGGTGACTAGGGCATGTATGTGTTTGGAAATACAGACCAGAGCCAAAGCACATTGAAGTTAATGGGAGTCTTAGGAAAAGCTCATCTATGAGTCCCCCTCAGTTCAGGTGCCCCAGAAGTGTGCAGCACGCAAGCACCATTAGTGGAATGACTCAGACCTAAATTCATAAACTACTCTGTTCAGTCTAGGGAACACGGGCAAAGTCTTTAAAAGGGGGAAAGCAGGGAAATCTCAATATAAACCACGGACCGGGGCAAGGGTCTGCAGATGACCAATGGTATTGCTGGACAGCTCAGTGACTGTGGGGAGGAAGAGGTTGGGGGAGGGGCTAAGCACAGGAAGTGAAGGGTAGGTGAGGAGTGGAAAAAGAAAATTCCTACTCGCATGACAAAAATTTCTTCCCATACCTCCAGTTTAAGGAAGGGGCTGAGATTGTCACCTGATCAGCATCTAGTGGGGAAGGCTACTATCAACTATGCTACTACCCACACCTGACACAGGATCCAGAACAATCTCACCGATAGCGCTGCACTGGGAATGAAAGGGTTAAACACTCCCCTTGCAGCCTAGCAGGAGCTTGCCCAGTCCTTTGCTATCCCTTTAATCGTATCTGATACAGATGCAATGCTGGGGGGTGGGGTGGAGGGAGAAGGCGGGTATGAAACAAAGAAGCCATTTAAAAAAAAAGGGCTGAGAAAACGACCCCTGCGCTCCACTGCGGACGCCAAAACGATTGCACAAAGGCACCGTTCATGACTGAAATTTCACCGCGCCAACGTGATTAAAGGATTCCATGGAGGGGTGGGGGAAGAGGGCTGAAGGCCATCGCTCCGTGGATTAACCTATTCTTGGCAAGGATGGCATGGACAGCAAATATGTGGCCTCTTGGGAGTTTACACCCTTCCCCTAAATGCAGCTGGGTATGCCCCCCGCTTTACCTCATTTGCCCAATGACCTATTCAGCTCTTTTAAACTTGCCTCAGATGCCATCACCTTATTTACATGTCATGTCTCCCCACCCACCCACAAGGGAGATAATTGGCACTGGTATGATTGTTAAGTGATTACATGAATACTATAAAGGAGTTGGTATACTGTAGGGTCATAATAATTCCATAGGCAAGAAGATATAAACTCCCAAGCAAAGGGCGGGCACACACTCCCAAGCAGTGTGTGCGTGTATATATTTTACAAAGCTTAACTAGCTGTAAGAGCAAAGGCTCTAAAATGCTATCCTAGCGCAAGGCAGCTCCTGTGCTTCTGGTACACTCCTACAGCAGAGGGCAGCATTCACAACTAAAGGGTGGAGGTAGTTTAGTTTTTTTAAACTCAAGGGCAATTTTTAATAACACAATCAGCCCCAACGAGAGGCACTCGCTGTTTTACCCTCCTGTTTATCCGCCTTTTTCGCTTCTAGAGCTGAAGTCCTTGCACACAAAGCTTCAGAGCAAAATCTAGAGCCAGCAGCCGTCTTTAGGCCCATAAGGACTTTACCATGAAGAAACAGTGTCTCTTAGCAGCAGAGAAGTGGGCCCCTATTTGTGCTCCTCCCCGTGACCACGTCA